GATGATATTTAAAACAAGTTTGAATTATAGGACATATCAAACACTATGCGAACGTAAAGCCGACTCGTTGACTAATATTTTAAATACAGTATATAAGTTTTAGCCAGTGTAAATAAAACTATAAAATATGTTTGGACACTTATGGCATAAAACATTACTTGTTGGATGTTTTTAAAGTAAACGCTCGGTCGGCTATTGATATAAAATAATACGCGGCTAATGGAGATGGCATTATCCTGAAATACTGACCTAAGCATTCTCGCTTACGATTCTTCGTAGGTACTTTGTGGTGCACAACCCAAACGTATCCGTTAACACAGAGGCACTTGTTTGGCATTTCAATGAGCCGTATCAGACAGATTCAATAACAGTATACTATCCAGATCTGAAAACGAACCATTTATTTGGGTATTGATACAAATGTTGGTTCCAGCTGAGGCTCAAATGCTTCTTAGCATCGGTAGGCCACAAAAAATTCCTCATAACGTCCTTTAACGTTATTATTTTACAACCAATTACATTTTGCTTTCAAACGAAATAACTTGGAAAAATTTCAATTTTTTGGAGAGCAAATGTTTCAGACATTTTTATGTTCTGTCTGTCTTCAATTCGAAAGGAACTTTAAATTGATCTTACTTTTATAGCAGAGTAAATACCAGTAAAAGAACTGAAAAGTTGCCTTGTTTAACTTAGTGTACTGTACACGAAGTAATTAACTTTTATGTTATTTTTTCTTGTTTTTATTAGTATTACCAATTTTTGTCAGGATTATTTACAATTATATGATATTATAGGGTAGTGGTTCCCTTTACTCCGCCACTACCCGGTGCTCGGTACTACAACTAGATTATTGTAGAACAAGCAAAGTCGTTTTTGTGTGACGGAATTTTTTACCGTCTCTTCTTATAAAGCATTCTAGATTCACGTTTGATATATGATCGATATGATTCACAAGCTAACTCTATCGAAAAAAAAAACCTAGATCGTTTATTATGGTATTTGTTATATATATTTGCGATGTTAGTTATTAGAAGTAATATGTACATGCTAATAAATTACAGAAAAATTACAGAATTTTACTGGAAACGTAGCATTCCATCTTATTCCTCACGGGTGACAACACATCTGTATTTCGATTCTTAATTGAGGATAGATGTAGATGTCTATGGCCCACAGCATCCACATACAATCAGATGAATTGTGCTCGCTTGTCACCCTATTCTATTATAATATCAAGTGCCTTGTAGTGGACCTTTATCACAATATATAATATCAGAAGTGCAAATGTAGAGCTCCTAGTATCCTAACGCAACGCTATTATTTGGTTTCGTGATACTTGATCTTTTAACCTCTTTTAATTTTAATTAAAACTATTAATGCTTGATAAAATTTTAAGTAAAATCTTTCTCATCGCCGTATTAAATGGAGGCTAGATTTTTTAATAGACTAAGAGTGACTAAGTGGATGATCAAAGACATCTACGTCTTTCCTCGATTAAGAATCAATGTGCGATCAAGATGCTAAGTTTGAATGCCTCGTGACCAGTAAAAATGGTCTCTGGTTCTCCACACTCACGATTCGAAACAAGTTATTTCACTTCAAACGGCTCCGTGGCGCAGTGGCTTAGCAATGAGTTGCTGCGCTGGGGGGCGCGGGTTCGAACCCCGCACGGAACAAGTATTTGTATGGCCTACAAATAATTGTTCCGGGTCTGGATGTTTGTCCTTGTGAAATTTGTGTTTGTAAACTGCCTCCACGATACAGGAGAAAATCCTAGTGTGGGGGTAACGTTTTTCAAAAAAAAAAAAATTAAAAAAAAATTATATTTATAAATTATTGTAAATTTTTAAACACATTTCCACATTGAGCAAGGAACAAAACGTCCTTTATTTTGTTCCACGTTGTACTGAATTAAAAAACTACACGTAACGCTGCAGTTTGTTTTGCTAGTGTATCGTTAAATTGCTCTAGGGCAAGTTAGAAATGCTCTTCTCGGCACTCGGGTCACGCGTCGACTGCATCGTCCGGTTCTTTTATGCATCAACCCACGATCCGACATTTTTCGACGCATTCAAAACGCTTCCCAAACAAACAAATGGTAGATTCTCGACTTAAATAAAATATTTGAGCGCATCGTATCACGTCCATCAAAGCTTAATTTTAAAACGTTTTTCTTGAAGATATATTTCATCGTTAGAGTAACAATGTTTTAATTGGATTTGTTCCGAAAACTTCCTTTCAAATCCGTCTTAAGTCCAATTAAGTTGTTGATAGGGCGGACAGAAGTCTTTATTAAGGTTTTGAATAGTATTATTTTATTCAGAGGAATTGTTCCGGGGCCAATCTCCTCAAAGTTGTATTTTAGCAAACGTCAATTTTCTAACGTTATTTTTATTTTATATCGTATTGAGCCTATAATAGAAGTTACCACCACCAGAAGTTTATTATTAAACATAACTAAGAGATAAATGGTTGCGTTTCTTTGACATTTCAAATGGTGATTTTGAAAACAACTTGGAAATTAAATTGGCAAGTGTTACTTATTTCAAAATAAAGAAAACGAATTTTCAGGGATTATATAATGATGACAAGTTACTATTTTTTGTTAATAGTATACGGTGACAAACGAGCACACATTCCACCTGGTGATAAGTGGTTGCTATGACCCATATACATCTTCATTTATCCACAATAAAGAATCAAAATGCAGATGCGTCGTCACCCGTGAAGACTAAGATGGATTGTCTCTTTTCTAGTAAAATGGTTTTCCGGCACTCTACACTCACCATACGAAACACAGCAGTGTCAAGCTGCCATTTTACGCTGGTATTCTGTGAGAGCGTGGTCCTTCCCCGGTCGAGCTGACCCATTCGTGCTACAACTATACTACTAATATAGCTGCAGCATGTCTTTACCACGTATAAAAATTTACCCTATTCTTAATAAAAAAATAAAATTTTAGCAGCCGGACAATCAGACTTAGACTGAGGTGGCAAAATCTTTAGTTGGAAATTTGAAGAGACGTGGTACTTGGTAGAGACGTACGTGTTGCAGCTATATTATGGTTGTGGCACGAATAGGTCGGGTCCACCGGGGTAGAACCAGGCTTTCACAGAATACCAGCGTAAAACAGCAGCTTAATGCTGTTGTGCTGTGGGCCATAGACATCTACATCTATCCTCAATTAAGAATCGAAATACTTTTGTAATTGTGTTTCGAGTGGTGACTGTAGAGAACCGGAGACCCGTTTTACTGGAAACGTGGCATTCCATCTTATTCCTCACGGGTAACAACACATCTGTATTTCGATTCTTAATTGAGGATAGATGTAGATGTCTATGGCCCACAGCATCCACATACAATCAGATGACTTGTGCTCGCTTGTCACCCTATTCTATTAAAAAAAATCTCATGGAAACCTTCCTATCCTTGAAATAAAATATATTTCAAGGATTTATAAACGTTTAGCTTCACTATACTGATACTTACAACTACTAGTATAATACCAGGGAAAACCTTTGAATATATTTTGAGTATCTCGCCTGATCTTCTTTGTTGAGATATCACTTTTCGAACCGATGGTTGATTTTGAAATTTGAAAGAGCCGATCCGATTAAGGAAAGTCCTCCCTACGACGGGAGCAGCTTATGCAATATGTCCAGCCGTCTGCTTTCACGTCTGAAGAAAGAAAATCAGCGCTGTATTAAATTGAAAAAGATTCTGATTCTGAAAAAGAAGATGATATTTAAAAAAAATAGTTTACAGAGAAGAATACGTTTATTATCAATAGTTTAATGTTTTAGTCCATTATGAATAATGGATTTTATTTTTTATTTTATTTAGCTTTATTTATCCCTTACGTGAATAATATTAAGTTTATAATATTATAGCTAGTATCCATTGTTTTTATTTTATTTGTTAGTAGTGTTAGTATGTCTTTATATTTAATTTTGTTAGTTTTTGTTAGTTGTAAGGGCCGCCTTTTGCGGTGAAAGCCTCCTCCAAATTACTTCAAGTGGTTCTGTCTTGCGCTAATCTTGGCCATAGCTGGTACAGCTACTTCGACGATGTCATCATTCCACCTTTTTGATGACCTACTTCGTCTTCTTCTTTTTTTATTTTTTTTATTTATGTGTCATTAAATGTTGCAATGTAATAATTTTGAGGTTTGGAGGGTGGTCGTCTACAATCCCCGCGGTGACGAGCCGTTCTGGGGGAGGTTATATTATGTGTTTTTGTTATATTTTCTGTTGTATTTGTGGGCGCGACGCAATTTGAAGTTGATATTCATTGCAATTGGAATTTGAATATTCAGAGGACAAGGAAGTCCTTCTGGATTCTGAAGCTTTAGTTATGCTTTGTTTGCTGATAAATTTCTCTGTGGAACTTTGGTTATCCCCGGTTTTCTTCGCTTGTGTCTTATTTTTCTTTAGTGCTTGTTGGTGTGTATCTGGTTGTCTATTCAGATTTTGTTTTTGGTTTGGTGGTGTTATTTCTAATATCCTTTTTTTGTTTCTATTACCCTTTTGTTCTCCTTCGTCTGTTTCACTCTACTTCTTTTGTTGATGGTTCTCGGACTATTAGTTTGTCGTAACGTAGATAGGCTTCTTTCCCGGCTTCATTATCTTGTTTAAGTTGTGCCATCAATGTTTTTCTTGTATTCAGGATTTGTGGTGAAAAATCTTATTTAAGCTAAATTCCTTCTGTCTTCATAAGTTTTTTATTTTTCAGTATTGTGATTTTTCGGCCATAGGTAGTAAAAGTTACAACAATAGGTCTGACTTTGTTTTCTTTATACGTGACTATCCGACGAATCATCTTTAATTCTTTTCTGACTCCGAGGAAGATAAAATATCTCAAAACTTTGCTAATACATTCTCCTTATTTCGCTTTATACAGTATTGGATGCACAAGTGATAGAATTAAATAATAAGGTACCCTAGCGTCCATAACGAAACCTAATTATGTATATTTTAATTAATCTGTAGATATTTTTTCAGCAAACGTCAGTTCCGAGCATCAACCTCCCAGACTTACCGGAGTGTGTGACCAAAGTTGAGATCTCGACCGCGCCCAAGGATGATGCTTCAACGCCCCTTAGCGCGCAGCACCAGCTGAAACTCTTGCGCGAGCGCCTGGATCAGCAAGCACAGCAAACACAAGCTGCTGTTGCGCAACTTATGCTCCTTAGAGACCAGCTCGCTGCGGAGCAAGCAGCACGATGTGAGGCTCAGGTAAGTTTATTTGCTTTTTTATAGAATAAACGTGACAAACGAGAACACAGTCCACCTGATGGTAAGTGGATAGTGTAGCCCTTAAACACCTGTATCTTTGATTGATTAAGATTCAAAATGTAATCGTTATCAACCCGGAGGACTAAAAATGCCTTGTTACTTGTTAAAAGGGTATTCTTATTGCCTACACTCACCACAAGAAACATGGCAGCGTTAAGCTGCTATATTACGCCGGTATTCTGTGCGAGCGTGTCTCTTCTCCGATCGCATCAATCCATTCTTGCTGCAACCCTATTTTTTTTTCATAAGATAAGGGTGACAAACGAGCACACAGTCCACCTGATGGTAAGTGCTTGCTGCGGCCCATAGACATCTACATCTATCCTCTATTACAAAACAAAATTTAGATGCGTAAAAAGTAGTAAAAAGGGCCTCCGGTCACCTGCACTCACCAAGCGAAACGCAGAGGTAAACCTCTACTCCACGCTGGTTTTCTGTGAGGTCGTGGTACCACCCCGGTTCGAGCCGGCCCAACCGTGTGACAGCAAAAGCTGTCGCGTGGGTCTACCACTGTTATATACTATTACTGTAGCGTGCCTCTACCATGATATAAAGTGTATTTTCAACATTTCATTCAAGTTATGATCAATTTTAATAAATATAAGTGTGTCAAAGAATTAAACTTTCAAAAGAGACCCTCCTTCTTTTTTGAAAACCGCTGAAAGTTATAGTTGAAATGAAAAAGAATAAAATTATAATATACGTACCTTCTACTACTGTGCCAGCGTACTAGCATTGCCCGCAACTTCGTTCGTATACCATGATGTTTTTCATGGGTTGGTTTAAACCCGAGTAAATTGGTAATTTTATCAGTTTGCATCTTGTTAGGATTCCTTACATCAAAAGGAAAAAAACGGAACCCTTATAGGATCACTTTGTTGTCCGTCAGTCTGTCTGTCTGTCAAGACCCTTTTTCTCATGAACGCGTGGATGTATCAAGCTGAAATCTTGATATCATATCAAATACTCAAATCTACTGTCCCTTAGAGCTGTGAAAAAATCAAACCTCTAAGCCAACGCAATCAAAAGATACAGCTGTTTATGCCGCAAATTTTCGACATTCGCAAGGGAATCAAAAACTACAGGGTATTTCCCGTGATCTCAGAATCTTAAAATTTGGTATGAAGCAACGTACAAGCACAGATAAAGGAAAAATTGCGAAAAGCATAAATTTAAGTTACATCATATAATAAAAATATTTTTAATAATTTTAAACTTTTTTTTAAACGGAACCCTCGGTGCGCGAGTCCGACTCGCACTTGGCCGGTATTTTTTTAAAAAGCGTGGGTAATTTCAATTTTATAAATTAAGCTACTGATCTAACTCCAATAGTAAGGAATGTTTATGATTATTGTATATGCCAAAGTAAATAATTACATACTGGTCGTGGTGGCATAGTGGTAGAAATATGACCGTAGATAATTCATTATTTTAGGTTTGTGTGATAAGCAGGATGCATTTGACTTTCAAATACACATATATCTAATATACAAAATATGATATTAACGCTTTCTAACCTAAAACGTAGTGATTACATTATATTATACCCGTCGGTGCTTACTCTGAGAATTTGGCAGTATCGACGTCAACAAACGACATAATTTGTCCAGACGTCATTTATATGTTTGACCTTGACTGAAAGAACATAAACAATGTATGTTTTATTTAATTTTATTGTATGTGTTAAGGTTTCCTGGATGATCTAAACGATTCACAATTGGACTCGGTAGATAACACTGTTGTACCCGTGCGAAACCTGGGCGGATCGCTAGTAATATATATATGTTTAATAACTTTTAGCTTTCTGCACTCTTCCATATAAACTTTTAACTACCTATGCGAAATCTCACACTCCTCCGAGCGCGCAATAATATTAATAAATAAATTTAATTATATTAGAGTTTAAAAAACTTTAATATAATTAAATTACTAGCGTCTTAAAAGAAGTATAACTTCGCCTCCAGGTCCTTCAAAAGAGTTATTGCCAAGGCAAAGTCAGAGCACATAGGCAGAATTGGCGAGAAACTAGTTCGCCTTCCTTCGGGAACCCGTGCATTCTGGTCTCTCGCCAAGGCTGTCCAAGGAAATTTCTGTAAGCCATCACTACCATCTCTGCACAGGGAGGACGACTCACTGGCCCAAGACGCAAAAGACAAAGCTGACCTTTTAGGCTCCCTTTTTGCGTCCAACTCGACTCTTGATGACGGGGGGAAAACACCGCCGACCATCCCGCGGTGTGAGTGCTCCATGCCGGATGTGCTGTTCTCACAGCGCTCGGTTCGCAAAGCACTTCTCTCCCTGGACATCCAGAAGTCGAGTGGGCCTGACGGAATCCCCCCAATTGTGCTTAGGACGTGTGCTCCGGAGTTGGCACCGGTCCTAACGCGTCTTTTCCGGTACTCCTACTCCCAAGGCGTAGTCCCGAATTCATGGAAGACAGCTTTTGTCCACCCGATCCCCAAAAAAGGCGACCGCTCAGACCCGTCCAACTATAGGCCTATCGCGATCACCTCCTTGTTCTCCAAAATAATGGAATCCATTATTAACTGCCAGCTCATCCGGTACCTTGAGGATCACCAGCTGATTAGTGACCGCCAATACGGTTTTCGTCGGGGTCGATCAGCTGGTGATCTTCTGGTCTACCTGACCCATAGATGGGCGGAGGCAGTAGAGTCCAAGGGGGAGGCGTTGGCCGTTAGTCTGGACATTGCGAAGGCCTTCGATCGGGTTTGGCACAAAGCGCTTCTTTCGAAGCTCCCTTCCTATAGGCTTCCCGAGAAATTGTGCAATTGGATCACCAGCTTCCTTGCAGATCGGAGCATCAAGGTCGTTGTAGACGGTGCATGTTCTGACTACAAGCCTGTTAACGCTGGTGTTCCACAAGGCTGTGTGCTATCACCAACGCTGTTTCTTCTGCATATCAATGATATGTTGCTTACTGGTAACATTCATTGCTATGCGGATGACAGCACTGGTGATGCTCTATACACCGGCCGTGCCAATATTTCTCTGGAAAACGTCGCCGAGTACCGGAACAAACTTGTGTCTGAAGTCGAGTCTTTGCTGAACAAAGTCTCGGATTGGGGGCGACTAAATCTAGTCTAGTTTAATCCTCAGAAGACACAAGTTTGCGCGTTTACCGCTAAAAAGAACCCCTTTGTCGTATCTCCTCAGTTTCAAGGCACTCCCCTTTTTGCCTCAGCCAGTATCGGTATCCTCGGAGTCGACATATCGAGTAACGTGCAGTTTCGTGGTCACTTGGAAGAAAAGGCCAAATTGGCCTCTAAAAAGCTTGGCGTGCTCAGCAGAGCGGGACAGTATTTTATGCCGGCACACCGCCTGCAACTTTACAAGGCGCAGGTTCGGCCTCACATGGAATACTGTTCCCATCTCTGGGCAGGGGCTCCCCAGTGCCAGCTCCTTCCACTTGACCGCATCCAGCGCAGAACGGCTCGAATCGTCGACGACCGAGCCCTTTCCGATCGGCTCGATTCATTGGCACTGCGAAGAGATGTTGCATCCCTTTGCATTTTCTTTCGCATCTACCATGGGGAGTGCTCTGAGGAATTGTTCGGACTAATTCCAGCCGCTCAATTTCACGAACGCACATCGCGGCAGAACTCCCGATACCATCCACACCATCTGGATGATTGGCGGTCCACCACTGTGCGATTTAGAAGATGTTTTCTTCCTCGCACGACTTCCTTGTGGAATAGATTACCATCAGCGATTTTTCCGGACCGATACGACTTAGGGGCCTTCAAGAAAAGAGCGTACTCCTTTTTAAAAGGCCGGCAACGCATCTGCAATTCCCTCCCTGGTGTTGCAGTTATTCATGGGCGGCGGTAGTCTCTTACCATCAGGTGAGCCGCATGCTCGTTTGCCCCCTCTCCTATAAAAGAAAAGGCGTATCTTTGTGAAATCATTGATACCCAAGAGATTTAAATATATATACTAATTGATACGCATTGCTTATGAGTTTTGATGATCTTAGTAAGTACACTAAAGTCACAGTCATTAAATAATTGTATTATTGTGGAATCCAAATAGGTCTGCAAAATTTCAGATAATTGAGACGTCTAAATGTGGGCGAATTATGAAATTCCAAATTCCATTACATTTACACATACGACTACATAGATACATAGTACATACAGATCAAGCTAATATGAAGCGTTTAAAAACTAAATTATTTTATATTATCCTGGTGATCCTGGTCAGAAAACTAGGATAAATTTATAAAAATTTTGTATTGTCATTGGTCTTTGATACGAGTGCAAAGCTTTCAAGTCAATCGGCCTCCTACAAGCTGGTGAAAATTACACTAAAAGATTCACGGGAAGCTATTAGAGAATTCCCTCCATATATTAATATATTATAGAATACTTTGTTTATTTCTATCCCTGAAATAAGTATCACCAAGTATAATACGGTGTAATCGCTTAGATTAATAACGATTTCATCCTCAATTTCAGAATCATAAAGTACCGATATTACGCGCTTCAACAAGCGGAATATGCTCCCTCGTGTATTTGCACCTTCAGACAAATTCATCTATTTATCTTCTTTATAACGATACTGTTAAACATTACACTATTCTGGTTGCACGTGAAATTGAATGTAATATTTTATATCTTAGATTCTAGTACACGGTCTAATATTGTAAACATAAAATCTCTTACTCTGGCGTTAATCTGTAAATATTTTGTAACAATATATGTTTCAAATTATGTTTTTATTTTTTTCACACGTGCGAAAATATATTTCATGAGCAGTTAAGGACGGGTTACATCAGGCTTTCCCCGAATAAAACCTCACGGTGTTCCACTTCCACACACACAAGGAACGCTCATACACAGATCCAAGCCCTTTTATTTTACCTTTAATTTTTAGGGTTCCGTACCTCAAAAGGAAAAAACGGAACCCTTATAGGATCACTT